TCAGAATGTTGTTAATTGCATAGATATTTCATTAAATGCAAGGTGATCTCCATGAAGTAAAGCTCTCTGCCAAAACAGAAGTTGTAGAAGAAGACAGGATATTAGGATCACACTGAATTTACCTAAGTTGGCCAAATAAACGAAAATACAATTTCAAAATCAGATGGTTTTATATTTAAAGATAGTCTTCTACTGCCTTTTTAAAGCACTTTTCCCTTTTTCTTTTGAGAAATAAGCACTTTGTGTAGACATTGGAAACTCGTATACTCCATCCAGCACCTGAGGTGTGATGAGCTTGCACCACAAAGGCATGAAGCACCAATAAGAGGCACGTGTAAATGTAGAAGAATCATTTTTATCAATTGCTAGTGGTTTTCTGCTTTTATATACATCTATGGCCATGTTAATTTCAGTTTTTATTGACCATTACATACAGACTTTGGAGACCAAATCAGACCGTATTTCATAGAAGTATCATTATACTATTACAACTTCTTGGTATCTGTGGATAACAAATACTGTAAGGACAAACTGGTGTTTTGCAAACTGCCACAAGTAGACTGCATGTGTAAAACACAAGGATTTGAAGAAAACCAGGAGGGGATTTGACCTGAAGCACAAAATGCACACTGCTGATTTCTCTGTCTTGAACTGTGAATGGATACCTAGTTTTGGTGGATTCTTCCATGTGGCTGGGAAAGTTTCTGGGACCAATTTCCAGGATATGATGGGACAAGACTCTCTGCTAAGGCCTTCCACATAGGCAGAGATCAAGAAAGGAAAATGGGGCACAATGTCTTCACTAAAGGATTTTTTCCTCTAGCGTCATGTCATCATAGTATACTCTTTCTGAAACTACAGTTTCTCTTTCAGCCTGACAATATCTACAGAACATCAAACACAAATACTCCTTCAAGGATCAGACAAAAATTCCTCTTCATCCCGCAGGACCTTATTAGCTGAAAAAAGGTTCAGGTAACAAAGCTAAAATCAAAGATTAAACCAAAACAATCTTTAATATGACCAAATTGACATATCTTTTAAAGACATTTTTGTACTCTTCTTAGTTATGTTTTATATTCTTTTGAGGGTCTTCTAAATATATCTTTTTCCACTGCTTGATGCCAGCCTCTTGAAGTTGATACACTAAGGCTTTCATTGATTTCACTGAGCTTTAGAATCAATATACAAGATATACCTTTGTACATTCTCTTCAAATATACCATTTTAAGTACAAAGGAAAAAAAGACTATGAAACAGTTAAAACTACTTGAAAACTTATCTCAGAGCAGTGCAGTAGCATGACAAAATGGCAAAGGCTATCTAAAAGAGCAATTCCTACTTTATTTAATTTCTGGCTCTATATTATTTATTTACAAACAAAGCAATCTTACAAATTGGAATTAAAATGCTTCTGTTTTGCATTTTGCTTTAATTCTGTTCAGCCAAAGGCTATGAGCCCAAACACAAACAAAACAGTCTAATTTGTATCATTTACACTTCTAAAATTGGCCTTTAGAATAGTGTGTGCATAATAATCAAGTCCCATGCTGCCTCTTTTTGTGAACATTAGGACTAATGTTATTAACTTCCTTTAAAGGCCAACTTAGACTGTGTGACGGGCCCTGGCTTCTTGCTTGACTCCAAGATTACACCTTGGATCCTCAAGAAGGCAAAAACTAGCAATATTGCTTGAAAGAGAAGATCAACAAAATGTAGTGCATCATTGTTACTATTCAAGGCACAGGAATAATTTTGGGCAGCACTGATGATATCAGCAGTTTGTTCTATGATATTTTACTGCGAAAGTTTGGCAACCTTCTGCTAATAAAAAAGCATGACTTGGGAACAAAAGTAATGCAATATGCATTGACACTCCCAATATTATTGTTAGTAGTGCCTAAATGTTGAAAACAATGTTTCCTACGCAGATGAGATTGGCAAATAAAATAAATTACTTGTTTTATGAAAGTTCTACATGTATTATTCAAAACTATCTCTCAACAAAAGTTAATGAATGGGTACAGAGCAAAGTAAATAAATTTTGCACATGGGAAACTCACTTTCTCCCCCTACTTCTTTCTAAGTTTTTTATTTCCCGTTTTATTTACTGTTTTTAAACTCAGGAAAGGTATAATCTTTTAGGCTAGGCTTTCATGCTGTCCCCTCAGCCATCAGCTCTCTCCACACTGACTCAGTTTTTCCAGAGGCAATGCCTCAAGCTAAATTGACTGTACAGGGAGCCAGAGATCTGTCACAAGTCACATGCAGAAGTTAACTTCAGGTATTACAGAAAAACTCACAAAGCCAAAAGCAACAACTGGCTGATTCCTGGAAAGGTTCAAGAACTAGTATGAAGCAGTTCCTTTTCCTACACAGTGTGTGTAGTAAGGCCCCCTTCACACTATGGAAAGGGTTTGGAGGGTTGTTATTTGGGAAAGGAATAGAAGCATGAATAATCAGCTACTTAATATACATTCCTCTCCAGAATCTGGGCTTGCCAGACACCTTATTAAATTCTCTAAGACTCTTATCTCTCTTTATTTTAACTGTAAAGTCCTTTTTCATATGTGTTGAAAACGGTTAAAATTGGGGACATGAATTGCATATAAGTGTTATGATATTTTTAGCATTTTTTCCTCAACATTTGCACAGTTCCCACGTTCCTCAAACCTGTGAGTCATACTAGAGGAAGGCCGTGGACTTAGCATATGATCCATGGTTTTGCCTGTGTTCAGTGAAGCCAATTTGAACATGCATAGCCAATCCGACATTTCCCGGAGTCACTGGACTTATTAGATTTATTGTGTATGTGTAGACTGATTGGGCTGTCCCATAGATATATTGCTTCCTGGAAACATCATGGATAATGCTCTCCAGTGCACTGTGCATGCACCCACTCACACATGAGCTGCTGTCTAGAGTCCAGGAATGGAACACAACTGTTCTGGTGGTGGAAAGCAAAGTCAAGTGACCTCCTTTTGCATGAAGCTGACCAGAACTAACCTGGACATGACTACAAAGTGAGCCCAATGCACCAACATTAAGCTTTAGGATCAGGTGGCAGCCAGCAAATGGGCACAGGATAGCTGAACCATCTTGTCAAACAATAGATCATAACCTGAGCACCTGCTTCCTTCATGCTATTTGTAGAGCAAAAAGGAAGATAGGAAGGGAATACCTAGACAGAAGATGAATTTTAGATAGGAAGTTACCAACATAAGGAATTTTAAACACAATTTCTTCAGGTAGTCTAACACGATAATTAAGAATTAAAATAACTTATTTCATTTATTGCTGATTTTATTCAGTATTTTCCAAATAGATTTAGATTGTATTTTGCAAGTTGATTGCTATGATTATACCCTTTGAAAAATTCAGAAAATTGTAATTGGCTATGTATTATTTTACATACCAAGATAAGCCTAATATGTTTGATAGCTCTGCAGGATATGAAATTACATACGTATTTCAGTTTTCATCCCTACAGTTCAATGCTTTTTAACAAATTATTTTCTTAAGGATTTCTTAAAGCTTTGTAGTTTAGGACTGCAATCTGCTCGCTATCCACAGGGAGTATTACCAGAGACTAGCAGTACTTAAACTGATGAAGGAGATATGTCATGTCTCTTTCACATCTGTATAAAGGCACAGCTTCAACAGATTGGCTGCAAAGGATGTAATAACTTGATAGAGATCCTTTCTCTGTTCTTTTGCAAGGTATAAGAATTCTGCCTTTTAATGTCATATTTTTCCATGAAACAACAACAAACCAACTGGAGTGGAAGCCTTTGCAGTCTTGGAATGCTGGAAAGCAGCAAATTCTCAGAAACTCACAGCTCTTGTCCAGCAGAAACTTTTCTTTGCCTTTTGTGAATCCCAAAGTATGTTTGGGTTTCTTTTAAAGTAGACAGATGAATGTTGAATTTCACATTCATACAAACACAGAGATGGCAATATGAGTGACTGGATTTTCCAGGGCACCATATTAGGCAGAAGGTGAAAAAAACTGAAGCATCTGCTTCAGAAAGGACCTTAGGATTTCCATTAAAATTCATGTTTGGAATTTCAGTGTTGTATCAAGGATATCAAAGGGATGTAGCAGTAGGAACATTAACAGTCTTTCTCTTTTGCCTGCATGTGCATATTTTCTTTAGCAGTGAGGATTTTTTTCTTATTGATTTTATTTTGTTTGCTCAGAACCTCTTGATTAATTCCTACAAAACTACAATTGCAGGATGTACCACAGCAGGATTCTGTGGCTTTGCTTATCCAGCTGTTAGCAGCTCTAGGTTCAGTTATTAGTCTATTCTTGCTTTGGAGTCTAACCATAGGGTGAATATTCCTAACAACTTCTTGTCTTGCCCATCAGATCTAGCAGCTCTTTCACATGGGAAACTTACTAATTTTTGATTCATTCAGCAGTATCAGAAACCTAAATGATTCCCTGGCTTACAAGATGAAAAGCTGTTTCACGCCCTCTAAAAGACAAATGACATAATTATCTCTGTATATTCAAAAACCGAATATCAGAATTTTCTGCAATGACTTTTTTCTGATCAACTAAGCTCTTTTGTGCCCTCCTACAAAGGTTTGATTTCACAACCCCTCAGGAATATGGAATTATTTAAACAGGCAATGCTGGTCCAAATCTCTGTTAAACAGGCATTGTCAACTGTATTAGAAGTAGCTTAATTCCATTTGGCGATTTTGTGAGGGAGAGCATTGTGTCCTGCATTACTGTCTCTGGTGTATGCCTATCACTACAGACCCCCAATTAGATTGAAACTATGTGCTTTGAAGGAAAATGTTGAGCCATCACAGCTCCATCATTATGAACTGCATCTTTTGAAACCTGGTCTTCTTCAGAAACTGTGAAATGCATCTTAAGCAGTACTACTGTGCTTTAACCTTTTGTCTCATATTTTGATGAGCCACTCAGGTCAATCCAGCCTGTGACATTTGCAGTGAAAAGAAAACAAAAGCAAGAGTGGCTTTACCAAAGACAGTCAGCTCTGCGGGATCGCTGTCTCGCTCCCCCACCATGTTAGTCCCAACACAAGTGTACATGCCAGCATCACTTTTTCTTGTATTGGAGATCATCAGCTTCCCACCACGTATCTGTTTCAAAACAAGGAACATATTGTTAACTTCGGATAAACAAAATATATCAGAAAAAAGCTACCTTCTCAGGTGACAAGTTCCACAACAAAGGCATTTTCAAGTTTTGTTTTTAAATAGATGTGTAGCTTTAAAATTCTAAACTTACATATTTAAATACCTTTAAGCTCCAACATATTTTATGCTACTGACTGCTTTCAACTGCATTTTTTTTTATTTGGTTTTCATTATTCTTTACATTTCAAAGATTATGATTCTTGCTATCTCTTGGTAGAATAGAGCGCTTGTATTTCTTGCATGATGATATGTAAAGCATTCTTAACATCTCTTAGAAGAAAAAGGTAATTTGACATAGGTTTTTCTTAGTTCATTTTATTTTACTGGTTTCTGAATGGTTTGTTTGCTCACTGATTAAGACAGATTTTTCTCTTTTTGTTGAGGCATACAGACTGAATCTGGTCCAAACTGAGAATTCACCTTACTGCTGTAAGTCTTAACATTTTCTTGGCTACGAAGGGTGCTTATAGAGTGAAAGAGCAGGGCAGTTGAAAGAAATAAAGTAGCAAATTTGCAGCTTGGGAAGTCACAGACAGTGTCAAAGGTTGGACAATGGGGTGCTTCAGAATAAGCTCGGAATACAGCCAAACAAACTTGGAAGTCAGTTCCCTGCCACTCTTCCTCCCTCTACTCTTGAGTAGACCCTAGCAGAGACAGCCTGGTACACAAATAGCAACAACTTAAATTGTTTAGCTTGTAATAATTCCTTAGGCATCCAAAGCCACAAACAAGATTTCTGATGGTAATTCCATATTGAATAAGGTCAGCACTGTGTCACTACATACAACATAAAACTTTATTGAAGGAATATTAATGGTGAAAAGTTAAGCATTTAAAAATTAGGAATGAAACATGTCCCCACACCCTTAATTTATCCCATTTGCTTGCACATACCATGATATAATCCCTAATCACTTGCTAAATTAGGTATTTTTGCTAGATCCTTTTTCATTCAGTACAAGAAATGAACAGTCACAGAATTCCACCAGTCAATATGTATTCCTGTTCAGGAATCATAATTCTTTAGACTATGTCTTCAGACTTCATTTAGAACACATATCCCAATTACTATACTAAATACAACATTACCAATATAATTCTAAGCTGTTGGATTTTTTTCACAGGGTATTTGTGTATCTCACAGATATGAACGAATTTGTCTACAAAACACCTGTCTCATATATGGTCTGATATTCTCAGTTCAGTGAACTGAGAAGTAGAAAAGGTAAGGCTGAATGAGTCAAAGACACCCAGTGAGTCCCCCATCTAACCAAGCACCTTACATGACCAATCTACAGCTCTAATGGACACCTACTACACTGGTTATAGAAACCAAATTTCAAAGAAGTTCAAGTTGGAGACCCAAACCAGGAGCAACAAACACCTTCCCCATTCATTTGGGAAAGCTCAGAGAGGCAAACTGCTAAGTGTCCCTATGGGAAAGGCTATAAAGCTTTAAAGTTCTGCTGCACACAGCTGTGGGCCCTGTGTCTATAGACAACCAACCACCTGAACTGTACTCACACTGATCCGTTCTTCCCTGTCATCAATACGGACTTTATCTTTCTTCCAGTAGATGGTAGGTTCAGGGTGTCCTCGAGGTGGCTGGCACTCCAAGATGGCAGGTTCTCCAGCTGCCACCACAACATCCGTAGGGTTTTGGCGGAAGTCATCCCGTAGCACTAATGCAATAAATGAGGGAAAGAAGAAAAAATTAATGTAAGTAATGACATTGTACGTAGAGGGGGAAACACATGTAGAAACATGTAATATTAAACAAACAAGTCTCAACTATTATTAGGTGATGACTTTGCATCTTATGTTGACTACAAAAGACCTCATAAAAGAAGTTGGTGAGGCATGCCCTTTCATCCAATGGAGAGATACTTCACTCTTGGCTTTTTTCCCCTCTTGTTTTTTCTCCAGATAAAAACACTGCTCTGCATTTAAAATTAGAAAGACCTGTAGCACCCATTACTCTTTTTAATAGGGTCACTTTCCATTGTTGCAAAAGTAGCATTGCAGGTTGGATGTTGAGTTCTTTTCATAACAGAAAACAACATGCTGAATACCTGCCTTGTCTGGATCTCCACCTTCAGCATAAGGTAGGTAAAAAAGGTAAAGAACTGATCATGAATTGCAGAATTACACCTGATTAAGGGCACTGTCATTATTGCTGTTACGATTTTGGTCATCAAATAGATGCTAAACTGATCACCAGTACTGAAAGGTGTCACAGAAATCAAGCCGATAGTAATGTGCTTCCAGCATATTTATTTATTCTTTCTATATTTTTAGCTCTAATATTTCTGCAACTTCAACCAGTGCTGTCCCACGACATTGAAAAGAAAGAGCATTTAAATCACCAGGCTGTTTGAGAACTAAATTAGGCAACATAGGCCAGCTTCTTATGTAAATCAAGCTTCTATAAAGGATTAGGCCCAACTAGCTAGCTTCAGTGTGTTAAAATGATATCCACTTCATCATTATTCTTCCATGTGTGTCCTAGTCTCTAGGTTAATTGACATTCTTATAAACATAAAACTGAAAATAGCTCTAGATGAGCTACTGAAATAGAATTTAGGGCATTGCCCCTCCTTGAATTTCAGCTACGTATCGCTTTCATTACAGCTTTAAAACAGTTCTTGCCCTTAATGGAACCAGGGCCCTCAGAGAAATTAGAAAACACTGTATCCTAGTGAAGGGGCAAGTCAGGAAGAGTTCAGCAGAAATTGCTCAGTCTCATTTCATAAGCAGAAATAATTTACTGCTTTCAGTGTTAATAAAATGTTCCCCATTTTAACATTTGGAACTGAATATTTTTATGTTCTGTAATAAGCTAGCAAAAAAAACACGATTAATACATACAAGAATTGCTCTCTGAATAGGTTGAGGTGAGCAGGCTGTGTATATGTGGCACTCAAAATGACATCTGAGGTAACTTTTATTGTTCCTCATTTTGGGATACACAGGTAGATCCCAGAGGAAGGAGGGAATTAATTGGAAGTTAATTTCTTTTCTAACACACACACACACACCAAAAAAAAAAAAAAAAAAAAGAAGAGTGATTATTTAAGTCTCACTCTTGAAGCACAAAATAAAAGTGACAGGAGGCAGCTGGCAACAAACGCAGTTCTGGCAAGAACCTGCAGTCTTCTTAGACACACCCAACTGATACATTTTTTTCCTACAGATAACAAAAATCTCAACCCCAAAATAATTCTGATTAATCAAATAACATACTGATACTTTTTTTTCCTACAGATAACAAAAAACACAAACCCAAAGTAATTCTGATTAATCAAATAACTTGTACACTTCCAATTCATAACATTCAAATTGACAGAATTTACAGAACACCAAGATCAAATGGAAGAAATAACTTCTGCAATGCATAGCACAGAAATAGTATGATGAAGATCATTGGCTGCTGACTATTTGGCAGTACCACATTTTGCAGAGCCAAGAAAGCTACTATCACAGCAATTTCAGGGAAAGAATGAGGAAAAAAAAGTCTTACAAAATCATTTTTCTTTAGGAAGCATCTTCATGTGTCTCTGTGATCACCATGATACACAGGAAGAAAAAGTACTTCTAAGCAATGCTATGCCCACTTTCATGTAACTGGCATATGGATGAAAACCAGCTTCTTCCATTATTATTATACAGAAAATAAATGTTATTTTTTATTGGCTTGATTCTATTTGCAATTACAGAACTTCAGTGCAAATCCATTAGTGGAAAATCCCCAGAAAATCAGCAGATCCTACCACATAATGGCTTTATATTCCTGCCTCCTACCTCCTGGCAGCAATATTAAGGAAAGTGTTTTCCTTAACATTTCACACTGCTATATGAACCTGTCAAATACAGTTTCTTGCAGTGATACACAGCAAATTACATTAACTTTCTCTAAATCATCCCAGCAACTGTGTAAGGTTCCAATGAGCCTCAGAATATGAGGCTAAGAGGTGATTTGATTTTATCACATTCCTTTACCCAAAGTCTTACTGTAAAACTGGCTTGAACGGAAGACAAAATTGATGCTACAGGCTTTGCTTAATCCTGCTCTGTACTTCAGCACATATGTGAATCTTGAATAGGTCTATCTCACCATTTCCACCTAAAGCATTCTGTGTTTTGGAGAAAAACAAAAAAATGGTCAGAGAAAAAAAGAAATAGAGAGAAAATAAAGCAGTGACAGAAAGACAGATAAGAGGAAAATGTGTGGAATATAAATTAAAGGGAGACAAGGAAGAGGGGGTACATTAAGTTTAGAGAGAGCAAAATGAAAAAGCCAGGTAAAGAAAGGAAAATAATGCAAGCAGAGAGAAGTACAAGGTAAAGAGCAGAGGGCACAGGCCGCCATTCCCGTGGTTCAGTGCCTTTAATGCAATCTAACAATAACAAAATAAAGCACAGACATCAATCTGATCAGCCCAGCCACGCCAGAACATCCAAACATCACGCCAAGAGACAGAGCAGGGAAGAGGAGACCAGAGCGGGAGCTGGCAAGCTTGGCTGTGGCACAGGAAGCCACAGAAGAAAGAACATCGAGTGGAAGTTGAGTTCACACGCATTAGCACAGTAAATGGAAAAGTTGCAGCACAGCTTAGTGCATTCACCATATCTAATGGTACAATCATCTGTGAAAACAGAAAAATGATTGAGAGCTGCAGAATATTCCTCAGCCAATTATCCACAATTGCTGGGTATTTCTAAATAACTATTAGTGTGCCTGAGCAGATCACCCTATCCACACACTGCCAAGAGGCTTTTGTTCACTTGAGAGCCTAACGCTCCTCGGGGCCCTTCTGGCAGAGCACAAATACTAATGTTTTAAAAATTCAACACAATTGCCAAAATGTTGCCGTCAGCCTCCTCTTCCTCATCCTGTGTTCTTGGTTTGCTTTATTACAATTTTAACATAAGTTATGTTAGCTCCCTTTGTGTTCACATGGGTATCACCCTTCATTTTGGGTGTTGCCCTACATTCCTCACTGTGAGGGTGGTGAGGCACTGGCACAGGCTGCCTAGAGAAGCTGTGGATACCTCATCCCCGGAGGTGCTCAAGGCCAGGCTGGATGGAGCCCTGAGCAACCTGGTCCAGTGAAAAGTGTCCCTGCCTACAGCAGGAGGGGCTGGAACTAGATGATCTTTGAGGTCCCCTCCGACCCAAACCATTATGATTCTCCAATTTAACAAAGAGTGTCAAAGAGAAAGATGGCCAGCACCCCACCCTGCCTGCCCATCCTGGGACCGTAGTACAGCCAGTTCCCTCAGAGAGCAGGACCTCAGTGGCTGATGTTCAGCCCCCATGACAGGGACAGGGACACTGAGGGGAGCTGCTGCCCTCTGCCAGCCCAACAACAGCGCAAACACCCTAATGTTTCAAAAGGCAAAGCTCTGGAAGAGCAAAAGCTTCTGGATGGCTAAGCCTCACTGTCTGGAAAGGCACCAAGCTGGAAAGGCCAACTAAAGTGTACACACAGCCTACAATGGTGCTGCAGATAAAAGTTAATTAAAGTTTGATCAGCCTCTTTGTGGCTTGAACGAGCTGATGCTGCTCAAACAAGATAGATGTCTGCGAGCAGTCACGTTTGTCTTTAAGGCATGCAAAGTCCTGTACAGCCACTTACAGGTACCCAGGAGTGTACCCAGGGGAAGCAAGCACATCCAACAACCACAGTAGCGAGATAAACACGCACAGGGCATGCACCTGCCAGAGCCAGGAGGAGGGAGGGAGAAAGCAGAAAAAGAAGCCCCTGCTACCAAGGCAACTGCTTACCAGCACCTGCCAGCTTAGGCCCAAATCCAGACCTCGGTCAAACTGATGCTCATAAACTCAGGGAATTACATGGAAACTGCATTAATTTCCTCAGCCGAGGCTCCAGCAATTTGTTTAAAGGAAGTGGAGACAAAGCTGCAATGTTTATGGGGAAGGAGGGAAGGTGGCGGGGTCAAAATTATTCTAGGCTAGATATCCATGCCTTAATCCTGCTTTCCAGCTTTCAGGCCCTTAGAAAGAAAACATTTTTATAGGATTTACATTTACATGATGATTACAAATAACCATCTGTCTGCTTCCACTTTTTCAATCTGGTCCGTGTCCCACGAGCCCTCAGCCTGTGGTCAGAGCAGCTAAGCTGGAAGGAAGAACTGGATGCCCGTCAGGAGGTTTTGGGATAATTGCATTCTTCTCCCACCAGCACTCGTCTCTCCACCTCCTCCCACCGGTGCACACTGCGAACATCTGAGATTACCAGGGTTGGGAGGGAAGGAAAGACTGTCTTTTTGCCTTTCTCAATAAATGATAATGTCTTAAAACACAGCTACATCTGTTGTGCTGACCAGAGGGTATAAAGAGATATTGAGTAAATGTTAATGTGCTTCTGTAACTTTTGTCCTGGTAGTTTATGTTCCCCCTCCTATTCTGTTTTGTGTTTATCTCAGGATAATATTATTAGCATATAAAGATCTTAGGCAGCCATGTTGGTGGCAGCTTGCTCACCTGCACATGCAGGTAGGTTTCCCCTGATCCAAGACACTCTCTCACAGACATTTTCCTAATCCTCATCTCTCTACCACTGCTTTGGTGCTTCCCACCTCTGATACATACTGATATGAACAATTGACACGAATTATTATGTCAAATAACTGCCCAGATGTCATGCAGTGGACA